CGGGAGCACTCCCAGCCCCCCGTCTCCTTGCACGGACAGCTCCTCTGGAGGGAGTTTTTTTACATGGCCGGAGCTGGAATTCCCAACTTTGACCGGATGGTTGGCAACCCCATCTGCTTGCAGGTCAACTGGGATGACAACCCCCAGCATCTCCACGCCTGGAGGGAGGTAAACCCCCAAATCCTTTGACTCCCCCCCAAAAAAACACCCTCCTAACCCCAGCACCCCACACCAGGGCCGGACGGGCTATCCCTTCATTGACTCCATCATGACCCAGCTGCGCACCGAGGGCTGGATCCACCACCTCGCTCGACACGCCGTTGCCTGTTTCCTCACCCGTGGAGATCTCTGGATCTCCTGGGAAGAAGGTTTGAAGGTCAGGAGATCTTCCCCAATACCCACCAGCACCTACGAGGCTCTTGGGGGACCTTGTCCTCGTGCCACCACGGTGTCCCACAGGTCTTTGAGGAGCTTCTGCTAGATGCCGACTGGTCCCTCAACGCCGGTAACTGGTTGTGGCTGTCGGGCAGCGCCTTTTTCCACCGTTACTTCCACGTCTACTCGCCCGTCGCCTTCGGCAAGAAGACAGATCAGGATGGAGCATACATTCGGTAGGAGCCAAACCCAGAGCCACAGGAGATAATGGGGGTGGTCTCCTTGGTGGTTCTGACCTTTTGCCGTAGAAAATATCTCCCCATCCTCAAGGATTTCCCCGCCGAGTATATCTACGAGCCCTGGAAAGCACCACGGGCCGTGCAGGAGAGAGCAGGATGCCTGGTGGGCACCCACTACCCCCAACCCATCGTGGAGCACGGGGTAGTGAGGGAGAGGAACATGGGGCGCATGAAAGCAGCTCGTGCCCAGAAAGGTAATGAGAATCCCCCCAAAAGTCACTCCCCCCCACACCCTGCCACCACCCTGGTTGTTGTCTTCTCCTCCAGGCACCAAGCGGGAGCCACCAGCCGACCCCTCGGTGGACAAATCACGAAGGAAAAAGCCCAAAGCCGAGCGGTGCTGAAGCCCCACGAGCAGCTGTGGGTCAGGAACCGCTGATCCCATTTTGATCCACTTCACTCAACCCTCAACCATCCCAAAATCGGTGACTTTGCTGCTGCCATCACCTCCAAAAATCAACTCCCCACCAAGGACGTGCCCCAAAAGATGGGGAATCACCCACTTGTGTGAGTCAACCCCACCTGGAACCCCCCTGGAGCTGCTGGACCGTGTCCCAGAGGGTGAACACCAAACCCACAAACCCCAAGGGGTAACACCAACCTCCACCCTTCCCTTAGCGACAACATATCGATTATTAAAGGGAACAGAGTAATTATGAAAGCACGATTTGATTCATAACACCCACCAGTAGCAGCACCACGTTGAAATCCTTTAGCACATTTTGGGCTGATCACTGGGAAGCCTGTGGTTAACTCGATTGCCTGCAGAGAGTATTAAAAATGAGCTCAGGACAAAGTGAGCGCAAGGCAGGGTCAAAACTGACCCTTAAAAAGGCGTTTAGGTGAGGAAATAAGGTTAATTTTGTCTCCAAACGCACCCACCATCAATATATTTTATTTATAGATAACCTGAAAGCTAGAAAATAGTTTCTCTCCCTGAAAAGCCCTGAATGCACCCAAATTCCTTCAGAATTCCACAGAAGGGTGGTGGCCAGCTGAGGCCCAGCACTGCTCTCACCACCTCCCCGTGCTGGAAACACGGTCACAAGGATATAAAACCCAAACCAGCTCAAAAACTCGAGGCAGGACAATCCCTGAGGGGTAACGGAGCACAAATCACACCCACAAACCTACACC